TAACTGTAAGACATTTACTTGAAATGACAATGTCAAAAATCACTTGGATCAGTTTTTTGTAAGCAGCGATCAAAACTTTTATGAATGTGAAATCATGCTACTACCAGAAATGATGACAACAGGTATTTGACCAAAATGGTCGCTATATAATTCAATAAAATATTTATTTATTATAAAAATATTCTGGTTTTTTTCACGGAAAGAAAACGAAATTACTTTCCGAACAACCCAATAGAACATGTAAATAATAAATAGTTGATATTTACAGTTTTCAGCTATTTAAATCCAGATTTTTACAACTTTTAGCTATAAAAATCTCCATGTATAAGCTATAATTCATATTTTATTGTATTTATTTCCATTTGACAATTTTTATTAAAAAGACCAAGCATAAAAAATAAATTAATTTTATAAATTCCTAGTTGAAGTTTTATGAAAAAGATACATAAATATAAAATCAAATGATAATTTTGATTCTAGTTATATATTAGTTATGCTTTTAATAATAGATTTTTTATTTGAAAATATAAATATATTCGTATTCATTTGTTTATTAATATTTTTTAATATATTCAATTTAATACAGAAATGAATCACACAAAGTTTGCTTTATTACATAAGTTTTTTTTACTCTCTGCTCTGGAGGAATTAAGAGGGTCTTTTTGATCATAACCATTGTGGACTTGGCCATACCATTGTGGGCTTAGCTAGGTGATGAGGGATTGAGTCTAACATATATGGGACAGATCACCCCCAAAAACTTCATGGATTTTCAACCACCTGGCTTCAATTCCCAGTCCTCCAGAACAATAGACTAATGCCTATTATTAAAAGCTTCCATATTATATTAGCTGTTAAAGACATATATTGATATTGGAATTTTATTATTTTGGATATTTTTAACTTAAATAATTTTATATTTTATAATATTTCAGATTGAATTGATATGTTAAAAATTATACAGCTACATTTCATATATCTTGATGGGTAATGCATGATATTCAGTTGGGGCTCTGAAACTTTTATAAAATTCAAAAACCCCTTTTTGGTAATGCACAGTGACTTTGTCACAGATTCATCAATCTAGTTCCTGTTAATGTACATTTTTACTGCTCACTCAAGATTCCTGGAATGAGCTGTACACATGCACTGTACATGTTCTCTATACTATATATTTTACTTATTTATTTTTGCCAAGATTAGGAAAAAGTATGACACAAATTGTTTCAGTGATCATTTATCATTTGTTAACCTGTATAATGACTGGAATGCTAGTCAGACTCGTCAGCAGGATTTAGAATTCTGTGAAATGAATAAAATAAATATTCAGAATATGAATTTCATTAAAGGTAAAATTTACTTTTAATTTATATTCAAGATAAAATATAAATTATTTTATGTTGAAACTTGTTATTATTTCCTTATCCAGGACTGAAAAATTTATTTTCTGAAAATTTACATGAAACGGGCTTGATTGAAAGTGAGATTACCAATAACAATCAATATTCTTTGAATTCTGGCATAGTATTGTCTGTTCTTTGTGCTGCTTTGTATCCGAAAGTTATAAAGCAACGAGTAGGAACATTGGATCGAGGGAGAATAAATTGGACAAAGACATCACTTTACACACTGTATTCTCTTTATAAAAAAATCTAAAATTCTGTTAAATTTAAATAATAAATCTAAATGATGCATTTTATATTTGATAGCCGAGGAAAGAAAGCCAATTTAACTTCATCTTCATTGTTGCACAAGATAAACCAATGGCCAAGTCCTTGGTTAATATATTTTAGTGGAGTTCAAGCAGAAGAAAGAGGTAGACTGACCGTAAGAGATGCTTCAGTTATTTCTAGTATCTCTCTTATTTTATTTGCTGGTAAACATCTTAATATGGTAAGAAAGTATTACTGAATAATGTTTAAATATAAATATTTTTATTTTGTCTAAATTAGTATAAACAATATTCTAAAATCTGTATTTTCTTTTTTCTTGTTAAGTTAAACCAAGTCAATAAGCATGAACTAGTAACTTTATCTGTCAATGGTTCAAAAGGATGCTTGTTTCAGTTACATCCTTCCCAAGGACAATGCCTAATGGACCTTCGTCAGTGTTTTGACAATGTGATACATTGGTTGTTATGCAATTCTAATGATTTATCAGGTGATGAAAAAGTGGAATCTTTTGTTAATCATTTTCTGGAAGTGTTGAATCAACTCTTGTTACAAAAAGACAAAGATCAAAGTGAACACTGTGATAGTGAATGATATTTTTAATTTCATAAACAAATTTTAAGATTCTTTTATATAAAATTGAAAATGTATTTATAAATATTTAATGCAAAGTTATATTTTGATTTAAAAATTTAAATAAAAGAAATTAAGTAAGATTCTAGAACAAATTGTGTGAGTTAATTAAAAAGTAACAGATATATACAGTACTTTCATTAATAAAAATGAAAAAGTCAAATCAAAATACTTAAAAATTTCTTCTAAATGAATTTACTCAAGTATTATCATCTGATAAAATTGTGATTATCTATATAAATAAAATTGTAAATGTTCATTTGTTCAAAATCTTAAATCTCTGAAAGTTCTTAACCAAGTGCTTTGAAATTTGACATAACGTTGCATTCGAATACACATGTGTTTTTATATTATGTAGATGTTGAAATTCCCCCCATGGGGAGAGGGACAAAATTAAGGCTTACCGTGAAGAACTCGGTTTCTATTATAATATTTTAGATGCGGTTTTTTGCGTTTTAATAGGGTATGTCAAGAATGTACACTAAAAAGGGATTTTTCTAAATTCTCCCAGCGGGGAGTGTTATACATTTATAATAGGTACATTTTGAGCCACAGCAATGTGTGGCTGGATACAGCTAGTTAATAATAAACACACAATAGTTTAAAAAATTTCATTTTTGTGTGTTTACTTTTTATAGTCAGATAATGAGGAGTAGGAAAATTTTTGAAAATTAATCTGAATATATTCATTCAATTACAGCGGATTCTTATATCACCAATTTTTGACATTGCTTAAGAAACCTTCTACTTTAGTGTACATTAAACTCCACTTAAAGGAGATCTAGGTGATATGTGGTTAAAAGCAAAATGTTCCATCCTCACCAAAACTGAAATCAACACTTTGCAAAGATGCAGTGTGTAAGTAGGTCATACCAAGTCACAGATGAGGTCTACAATTTCATTTTTCAAAAGGACCATCTGTTAACTTCTTCTGTGGACTTGGCATGAATTTGTGGTAAGGGTTAACAAAGGGGAAGGAAGGTCTTTGTGTACGGATAGGAGAAACAAAAAGACTTCACTTTTCAATCAGACTTGGAGTTGAAGAGACTGTTATTCATTTGCTTCTGCAACAACTATTCTTTAAGTTTGATTTTTGAATAATCCCCTTTGGTTATATACAGAATACTGATTTAGTTTTTATATTATTTTTAATAATTTTTATCTGTATATATTAAAGACAAGATGTTCTGTCATTGCCACACACAAATAATGTAAATTTAAAAATTAATTTGATTTACATTTTGAAAATTTCAAAACAACTTTTAAATGGTTTTTAAAAACATTTTAATTTTCAATTGATTTTCTTTTAATTAGTTTTGATTTTATTTTTAATTTGGTTTTGGTGTAAAGGTGTAATTTTTTAAATTATATTATTATTTTTAGGTTTAATTTATTTAATATTAATTTAGTTTTACTTTTTATACTTATTTTTTTTAATAATTATTAATTTATTATTATTTATTTAATTTTGCCTGTATTTTTGAACCCTTAATTACAACATTTAATTGCAACTCTTTTTATTTTGCAACATAACTATTGAAATTGTTTTAGAGTTGTTTTGCACAAAAGATTACTAACAAATTTTAATTATTTCATTAATTTTTGTTTTATAAATTTGCCTGCTTTTTAAAAATTTTTTAAAATTTTAATGAGTTAACATTAATTAAACTATCAGGCTATCTAGTATGTTTAATTATCCCAACTTTTGAATAAAAATGTTGTTAAGTATAGGTTACCTGTAAGAAAGTTTGGAAAATTCAGTAGCCTATGGAAGATTGCAACTTCACATATAAGATGCAAGATGATTTTTTTTAAGCCTTTCTTATTTTGGATAAAAGTTACATCTTTTATGCCATAAAATATGGTAACTTTCTAATATAAAAATAATGATTTGATTGAGAAAATTAAAAAGTTGAATATTGTAACAGTATAATCCAAACAATCTGAGATGTAAAAAAAATTGCATCAAGTAAAAACTTACAAAAATTTAGTTGGCAGTCAAATTTTTTGTTGGGAGTTTTTCTTTGGTCAAGATTGGCACTTTCAAGTATCCACAAGATTTTTACTTGTATTGTTCTTTTCTACAATTTGCTTCCAAGTGCCAGATTTATCTTTACCAAAGAAAAACTCCTAAGAAAAAATTTGACTGTCATCTAAATTATCATAATATTTTACTTGGCACAATTATTTTATATCTTGGACATTTTTGTTTGGATATCAATTGTTTTTTGGTTAATAATTGTATCATTACATCAAGAATAAGACGATAATGTAAGTACAGTACAGTTTGGTTAGTGTTTGGTGAAGGCCACCGACCAAACACTTTCAATATTCATTTTGGTCAGCAACGACTGAATGCTTTAGAGCTTTAGATATGCTGTTTAGAAAAATCATTATAAAAAGTGTTAATTTTCATAAATTGGAGCTTTTGTTATTCTGGATAACATTTTGAATAAAATTCATTTGTTTCCATCCAATTTTATCCTTATAAGCATATAATTAAGCCATAAAACTGAAATAGTTGTATGGGGAAACACCCATAAACTTTGACCCATTGGCCTGAAAGTTTCACCAGCACCTTACTGATAGTGAGAGACTTAAGTTTAAAATTTGAGCTTTCTAGACCCAGTAGTTATTTTCTGTACAAGTGGCTGCAGTACCGGATGAAGAAAAGAAGAAAATACAGCTTGTTTGACAATTTTTGCACTTTTCAATTGCTTATATTTCAGAACCCCTTTATAGAAAATCTTGAAATTTTGCATACTACCTAAGAAAACAATTATCTTTCAAACAAGGTACTTGGAATTACTTCAGGTGTTTGGAGATGGAGAAATTGACCCCTGAAAATTGGAACTCTGATTCATGTATATGTAGTCAGTCAGTGACTTCCTTTGGTGTATAGTCACTGCCATGACTCTTAATCATTATATTTATTTATTATTTTCATATTCTAAATTTAAACATCACAAAATAATAATCTATACTAATATAATAAAGAGGTAATGTTTGTNAGTGTTAATTTTCATAAATTGGAGCTTTTGTTATTCTGGATAACATTTTGAATAAAATTCATTTGTTTCCATCCAATTTTATCCTTATAAGCATAAAATTAAGCCATAAAACTGAAATAGTTGTATGGGAAACATCCATAAACTTTGACCCATTGGCCTGAAAGTTTCACCAGCACCTTATTGATAGTGAGAGACTTAAGTTTAAAATTTGAGCTTTCTAGACCCAGTAGTTATTTTCTGTATAAGTGTCTGCAGTACCGGATGAAGAAAAGAAGAAAATACAGATTGTTTGACAATTTTTGCACTTTTCAATTGCTTATATTTCAGAACCTCTTTATAGAAAATCTTGAAATTTTGCATACTACCTAAGAAAACAATTATTTTTCAAACAAGGTACTTGGAATTACTTCAGGTGTTTGGAGATGGAGAAATTGACCCCTGAAAATTGGAACTCTGATTCATGTATATATAGTCAGTCAGTGGCTTCATTTGGTGCATAGTCACTGCCATGACTCTTAATCATTATATTTATTTATTATTTTCATATTCTAAATTTAAACATCACAAAATAATAATGTATTTATAAACTAATTATAATTGTCAATGTTTATTCAAACTCAGTAATCAGACTTCTCTGGGAAGAGGGATCAATCCCAAATGACAACTTTCTGCAATGGTTTGAGGATCCGATCAAAAAAAAAAATGAAGCAACAAGTTGCATAAATTTCCTGGCAAAATCAATTGAAATTGTGTGGTGTCATCTGTTATAAAAAGTTTTTAAATAAAATATATTATTAATTACTATAAAATGGCAAAAAGCGCAAGTTTGAGGATAGAGATGAGTTTTATAAATAATTGTAAATGCTAATAAGAAATAAAATCATTAAGTCTGGGTTGGTCTTAATGAACATTCTATTTGAGATATGATATGACACGTGATCCTCTCCATCTTTCTAACCCCTCAACCTTTACCCACCAAAATTCAGTAGCATCAATCTCCCTAATATACAAACCTTCCTACAAAATTTCAGAAATTTTTGACAACATCATATGAGTTCATTAACTCCACTCCACTTTGAAGATAATAAATCATATCCTCCCACACAAACACAAACATCCATAAATACAGAAAACACTCCAAATTTTTCTGCATTTTCAACGTTTCAAGCTCCTGAGTCCAAAAACCTAAAAATCTTGGGGGTTATTTTTTTGACTGATTGCCATACTTCCCTCTGTTATATCAATATATAACAGAAAGTAAAAAGAGATGAATTGACTGTCTACTGGAGAGAGTTTGTGGTAGGTGTCCCAGGAGAAGATTTTGAAAAATTTCTCTGATTGAGAGGAAAAAAGAAAATAATATATAAAAAGTTACTTTTATTTACTTTCATTTTATATATATGTATTTTTTTTAATACAAGGGTAGGCTGAAAAGTAATGCACACTTGCTTGTAGAACATGAACAAAAACAAATATCAAGATCGGGCAAAAAGTACATTAAAGTACAATTCTTAAGCTTCAAAATCATATATTTATTTTTCAACATAGTCACCATTAAGGCTAACACATTTCTTCCAATGTGTAACAAGTTTTTTCATTCCGTCACTGAAAAATTCTTCTGACTTTTCTCGAATCCAGGACTTGACAGCTGCCTTCACCTCATCGTCCGAGGTGTAATGATTACCTTTGAGGTCTCTCTTGAGTAGAGGAAAAAAAAATAAAAATCACAAGATCAGGGGAATAAGGAGGACGTGGAATTGGTTCAAACTTCAGGTTTTGCAGAGCTTCTCCAGTTGTGTGCTAGGTATGTGGAGGAGCGTTGTCATGTTGCAAGATTATTGGCACCAATTGATTATTTGTGTTAGAGGCAGCCTGGTGCCAATAATCTTGTGACATGACAATGCTCGTCCACACACCTAGCACACAACTGGAGAGGCTCTGAAAAACCTGAAGTTTGAACTGATTCCATGCCCTCCTTATTCCCAATCTTGCACCTTGCAATTTTTATTTTTTTTCTCTACTCAAGAAAGAC